AGAAATAGAGGGGAGAGAGACTGAGAAATAAGGAGGGTGACTGCTCGATTGAAATTATGACGTTATTCTTTTCTTCAAATTATCTTATTGATTCCTTCAACTCCAAAACGGAGGAACGTTGATCGTTCATCGAAAAGACATCCGCAATCTTCATCTAGATATATCTAGGCCTCAAAACTAGATCTATGATTTAGGTCTGTCTGTCTAGATCTTAACCTAGCCCATAGATCTTATGGTCTAGAAGAACCTAAGTCTATAATTTACTTTCTCTGGTTCTACTCTGAGCCACCTTTCCGAAATCACAGAAGATTTCCCCTACTGGGTCTGTATACTTCGTGACTTTGTTCCTGGTTACCGGGTCTGTATACACTCCCATTTTTAAATGTCTGAATATTCAGATACACCTCAGTTGTGGTTGGGGCAACTTTCCCGAACTATACTTCATTTGAAAATACCTTCGAAAGGTACTGCAAGAAAACAAGACTGTTCGACCTTGGCGGTAGATCTAACCTATTTTGCATATATAGTCACCCAGCAAAAACTAAAATCCTCCATGTAAAAAAAAATCCCTCCACGCCTTTCGGAGACTGAAATAAAGTTCATGTTTATTTTCCCGAACGTTCGGAGAAATAGAGCTGGCCATATTATTATTTACAGTTGAGAGTTTTTTAATTGTCTTTTAATTTTATAGCATAGGAGGGTAGGCTTACTTACACATTGCTCAAAGCAGTAATTGTAAGTCTTAGTAACCCTTATTTTTACCAATTTTATCCTAAACAGGTACATGATACACATTAACTGAAACAATATTTGGTAAGATTGTGAACTTTATGGACCCAACCCCAAACGAACCCTGTGCAAATGCCATACCAACTATCAATGTTCCTGGTCCACTTCTCTTTTCTCATTGTTTGCATTTATGTGTGTATTTTTTTATTATTATTGTTGCCAGAGGGTGAAACTCCCCACTGTTGTTATCTGTGCGTATCATATATTATAATGTAAGCACGGTGGGTCCACCAAGTTAAATCCAGCCCAAAATTTTTTGGACTTGTTTTTATTTTAATTTCGCTTTTCTGATCAATGCTCAGCTTATCATAGGCTGAATTAAAGGTTGTTGATTTCAAGTAGTGCATCATGAGTTAGACAGATATAGAGACAGATGAATGAAAGCTCTCGGAGTTCAAATATTTCCCCTGCTCTTTGTATGATATCAATATAACCTTGACATGCCAACCCAATTAACTCTACAAGAGAAGCTGTTCAGGTGGACAGATGAACTGAGCAGGATGGCCTAGATGAAAGAGACCGGACTTCAAGTGTGATTATAATGTGATTGAGAAGAAGAAGAAGAAGAAGAAGATTTTGAAATATTTGATTTTCTGTGAACGGAAAACGTTGTTCCTGTCATTAATAGTATAAAATGTGTATTCTGTGAAATTAGATTTGTCAAAGTTTAAATGTTTGATGTTTCAGCTTTCTTTCTAGTCATTTGATATGGAAATTCCAATGTAGGATAAATACTCCTTGTCTATAAATGTTCATATCAGATCAACTTAATGTTCATATCAGATCAAATAGTTAGGCCTACTGATGAGATTTTACATTGAAGCGTACGTAATAAATGGTGATTTTGACTTTAAAAGTCTCAATTTAATGTGTGTACCTCATGCTTTTCCTCCGTCCCTTCCTATATTGAAGAGATGATCTTCTATGTTGTGATGTATTTATCTGCCCCCTTCCCAAGAGTCTTCCTTGACCTTTGATCCATGACATAGCTTCTTTTTAATGATTTCATTGTAAATGATTTTCAGGATGGAGCAGCAAAGATTTGTGCAATCGCATTTTCACCAAACAATCATAAGTTGGCAGTGTGCACCTCTGACAGGGTCATTGTACTGTTTGATGAACAAGGAGAAAAACGAGACAAGTTTTCACTCAAGCCAGCAGATTCCAAGGTTTGTATAAGTGTTTGTGTAAGTTTGTTGGTTAATGTGTGTGTTTGTGTGTGTGTGTGTGGGGGGGGGGGGGGGGGGGGGCTGGTCACTCTTTATGATTGGAGAACAGAGAGGCAGTGTTTGTACTTTGTTTCAATTTTTTTTGTAACTGTTTATTTCAAGATTACGTTTCTAAGACTTAGACAGGTTACTGAAAGTTTTGAGGATCATTGATTTGAATATGTATGTCTCCTGTTGATTGCTTAAAAATGTTGGAATCAATTCGTTTGTTTGTAGTGTGTAGCGATGGTGCTATTTGAAAGAGAGCTATGAGCAACTGTCATATCCATGTTGCAAAAGTAAGTACACTCTGAGTAATTCTTCCTTTCTTGTTTGCTTCTCCATTCACAGTATGGGAAAAAAAGCTACACAGTCAAAGGCCTGGCCTTCTCCAGTGATTCCACCAAAATTGCCGTGGGACAGACTGACAACATTATCTATGTCTACAAAATCGGAGATGACTGGTGAGTGACACTGGGGATGTGGTCCTCAGAAGATCAATCATGACATGCTGCCCTTCATACCTGTATTGTATTTTGCTTATTGTATTGTCATGACACACAATTTGTAGTGCCAATGCAGTAATTTTCTTGGATATCATTGGGTTATGTTTCAGAACATCCTACAATAACTGAAAATCTGCAAAATAAAAACTATTTATATTATGCATTGTATGCCTTTATTATCCCTCCCTGTGCTCTAGTAGACCCCCCCCCCCCCACCCCATCTCTTTTGAGCACTATCTATTCTTAGAGTATGAGAGAGCAACAGTGTTTAAACAATAAAACTTTTGTCTATTGCTCTGATTGGTCATGTCTCTTCCAGTGGTGGTTCAAAAGAGCTTCCCTGGACTACCTACTTTTGGTTGAATTTTAAAAAATGAAAATGTACAGGGTTTGCAAAATAGGAGCTGGGATATGGTGATGAAATACATTATTCCTTTAGAAGCCAGGACAGGACAACAAGCAAAGTACAGAACTGTCTATAAGTAGTGAAGAACAACTACGAGGTTATCCTCTGTGTGTTGTGATCTGTGTGTTATCCTCTGTGTGTTATCCTCTGTGTGTTATCCTCTGTGTGTTATCCTCTGTGTGTTGTGATCTGTGAAGGAAAAGACCCATGTGTTAAGGGGAAAAAATCACTGTTTAATGAAAATTTTTATGAGTCTCTGATGTCTTGTTCACAATAATTTTGTGTGAATCAGAAGATACTGACTCGAATGGTACTTACACCTGCCAATATAGTCCTTTGGTTCTCTACATATGAGTATTCCCTTTTTTAGAAAACTGTTGGTTCTTTGATGGACTGTTATTTTTCCTTTTCATCAGGTCCGAGAAGAAGGTGATCTGCAATAAATTTGTGCAGCAAAGTGCGGTCACTTGCCTAGTTTGGCCACCAGACCAACCCATTGTCTATGGTCTGGCTGATGGAAAGGTAAGTCACTGCGGTGATTGATGTAAAATATTGTACAGAAGTTATTGATATGTAGATATAACTGTGTGCTTTGAAGAAAGATCCTTTTTAATCTTATAAATGGCTTTCACTCTAACAAGCCGTGTTTTCTTTTATGAGAAGCAACTTAAAGTTGAAATAAAGGCAGTGTAACATCAGCAGAAACTTAAAACCATTTTTTAACTCATCAACCACAAATCCCTTTGAGAAAATGTTATAACGTATGAATTTCACACAAGTTAAGATTTGATAGACGTGTAATGTTTGTTTAGTTTTGACGTACGAGAGCAAATCGCTATACAACACATTGTATTTTATAAAGCCTTTGAGGATTGCATTTTGCTATATAATTGCTTGTTGTGTAATTGGGAGTGAGTTAAATGCTTTGCTATATAGACATAATCAGGACATCTTAAATGTTTCTCTCTTTAAAATTTGTTTCATGGAGAAAGCAAAATGTTCACCCTGTGACTTTATCTTTCATATACTTTTATAACTTGATTGAACATGTGTGTTTGTGTGTGTATGTGTAGGTGCGTTCTGCAAACACCAGGACCAACAAGTCAACCACTATCTATGCCACAGAGTCCTATGTCGTCTCCCTGGCGTGCAAGTAAGTGCAACAATCTACACTGTCTTATTATAGCACACAGCTGGTAGTCTGTCACAACAATATGCCCCCTCCCTTTTTCTTTGTCTGTCTGTCTCAGTCTATCTGTCTCTCTCTCTCTCTGTCTCTCTATCTCTCTCTCTCTCTATCTCTCTCTCTGTCTGT